ATTTTTAACTCAAATTTATAAATCAATTTACTGCTTGCTTTAATGGGACAAGATTCAGAAAGTTTTTATATATGTGGTGTGGGTGAGTTCTAAAGAACAAATTATAATAATTTAATGATCTTAATTAGCCTTAGTCTTTATTCTAGAATTGGATAACTCTTCCATAAAATGGAATAAGTGTTCTAGTGAGCTATGAGGAAAAGATTAGTGTTACAGACATAAAAAGAGCTTAAAAAGCAGAAACAAGAAAGAGAGAATAGGTTACATCTGGTTACTTTAGGTTACTTTTTTTTTTCCAGAGGAAGGATTAAGTAAAAGGGAAGTTGATTGTCTTACCAATTGAAACTATCCAGTTTGAGAAATTTAGTTATCTCTCTAACCTTGACTTCTCAGGTCAGATAAGCAGCTCAGTTTCAGGTTGGTGACCTAGAATTTGAGCTAGGCAACTCCATTTTGGTGTTTAGTCAGGGATGTTGAGAACTACTAGGAGCTTTGTCCAAAACAATGGCTTCCTGTAATTTTTATTTAATGGTGTGTTCATTTTTTTACTGTAAAGCATATGCAGGTGTTCTTTTTTGTCTTGTTTACTAAGAAGTTCTGAAAAAAATTGGATTGATACTGAATTAACAGAAATATTTAATAACTTGATTGTTTCGCATCTGTATGTTTTCTTTTCTTTCGTTTTGTTGTTATTGTTGTTGTTATATTTAATTTTTATTTGTTTGTTTTTGGTGCTGTGAATCAAACCTAGGCCTTCTTACCTGCTAGGCAAGAACTCCACCACTGACCTATACTTGCTAGATAAGTACTTTTCCACCGAGCTACATCCCTAGCCACATCATGATCTTGTATCATTCTTTCTGAATTTTTTTTTTTTTTTTTTTTTGGTACCGGGGATTGAACTCGGGTCCTTGCGCTTGCAAGGCAAGCCACCAAACCACTGAGCTAAATCCCCGGCCCCTTTCTGAAATTTTAATATAAGAAACTGCAAACTCTGAAAGTAGATGTGACTTAAGATTATATAATAATTATAATAATTGTGTGGTACGTAAAAGTGTAGTAAAGGTTAAATTTATTTTTTCCTACTAGGCTTATGTAAATGTGTCAAGAGCAAGCAGATCTTTGTATAATTTTGGTAAAGATGGAATCTTCTATGTTCTTAAAACCACAGGCTTATTTTACTATAAAATTTCTCAAAAATAAATAACAAGAGGATAATAAAAATTATTGTATGTATAAATTGATAGTGGATAGAAAAAAGAAAAAGGCAGTGTACATATTCATTTACAGACAGGAAAATTTCAATTTTAGATGTGGAAAAAAAAACTGTTAATAAAGCAGAGCCAACCATTCCAAAAAACATGGAGTACTTTTCCCTTATAATTAATGTCATATTATCAAGATGCTAGAAATAGATTTGCTTCAGAATAGTATTAGCATTATTATTATGTCTCCTTCTCCCTGGATACATAGAAATCACAAAGGACTAGATACATCCTTTTGAGCTTACAAAAATGTTATAATATGAACATAAATTTGCTTTATGAAATTTTTGGTGGGCCTTGAAAAAGCAATAATCTCAGGCAGCTCTACCCCAACAATCACAGGCCCTCTGCAACATACCAGCCACCTCTAGAGGCCACAGAAATCTGCTACTTGAGAAACAGAGGTAAAACTCTCGCACTTAGCCTAATTGTAGACCTAATAACCAAAGCCACAGTAATATTTGCATCTACTTAATAACATTTGCAGAACATGGTGTGGCAGTTACAAGACTCTGATAACATTTGTCATGAAATAGTGGCAAGCGTCTTGTGGCCTTTGTCATCTTCATGTTGTGAAAGATTGGAAATTATAATAAAGACAGAGAGAAAGTGATTTTGAGCCTGGATCTCTGTATGTACTGTAAAATGAGTATATTGTAAATAGTGCTTTCAAACATAAATGTGAGCAAAGATAATCATTATGTTTTTCCTAACGTTTTTTGAGTCAGTTAGTTCATCTCGTCTGATGTCCATTTCCTCATGGACACAGTAAGGGAAATCAGTGGAGACTTTGCTGTGTTTCTGTGAAGACCTTATGAGATAATGCAAGTCATGGCTTAATATTTTTTCCATTGAGTTTATTGGTACTTATTAAGTATACAAGTGGTGCCACATGATGATGGCTCCGCCATTGTTAGCTTGCCAGACTTAAAGAACGAAAGAGAGTGTTCACATTTGCCTAAGCTTCACCTTCTGAAAAAAGCAAGTTGTGATGCTGACTAAGTAAGCAGCGTACAAGTACTTTTTGACCGAGAGCCATGGCCCATCCCCATCTCAGACGAAGTGATTCAATCGTGGGCATTTATTACAGTGAATCCTTGGTGATTTTTAAAAGAAACATCATTTTAAATCCCGTTAAACTTTCTAGATACTGTTAAAATGTTTGTCCCTAAAATAACTGTAGTTTTTGTTTTAATGTTAATTTAAAGGAGCCTCTCAGGAATAAGAAAAAGAACAACAAAAAATAAGTTGAAAGAATTTGTGTTTACAAAGTGGGGGTAAGGAAGGCTTACTTTCTAAAGGAACGCCAATAATACTGAAATAACTTAGAACAATGCTGTTTTCAGAAATACAATGTGAACCCAAAGAAATAGATCACTTAGGCAAAATTTTTTTAAACTAAACTGAAAATCAGTTATATTGGAGCTGCTTTGATACTAAAAATGCCTGTCTCTTTTGTGCATTTAGGCAATATTTGCAATAAACACTTCTGTTAATGTTTTCATACTGCAGTGAGGACTGACAAGTGTGAGTTTAAGTAAATTTAGCCCAATATCTATGTAGGGGAACATATATGTAGCTTCATCACGTGGCCATGAAATTCTTAGAAAAATATGAGGTGATCTAAAATGATACTGTACTACTCGGAGGGTTAAAATTTCTCAGAATACATATTTTTAACTGGAATATAATATTGAAGCAAATAGAATGCCTAAGTTTCTACAGAAAGCCTTCAACCCATCACTTCCTGCCTCTTCCATTTCTTTGCTTTCATTCGTGATAAAATTACCATATTTTCTTCTCAGTGTATTTTAAGCACTTTTTTTCCTACTGAATTTCTCCCTCCCTCCCTACCTCTTTCCCCCCACCACTTTGTCTTCCTTTCCTCCTTTCACTCTCCCTGATAACATTTAGTACTAAGTTATTAACAAAAGCTGTGTGAAAATTACTAACAGGGAGTCAAGGTGTGATGAGGCCAGATACTTTAGGTAAGATTTTGTTTAGAAATAACAATAAAAATTCCAACATAATATAGAGAAGCAGCAATAACTAAAGCTGGAACTGTTCTGTCTTTTACCTATATTTCAGAGAGATCTTCTTATTGCAGGAAAGTTATGCCACCATATACAACAAGAGCTTATCACATCTGTTTAGCATTTATAGGAGCGTTTCATCTAGTAGTAGGAATATAGAATGAGATTCTCTTGTTTCTTTTTTTTTTTTTTTTCCTCATTGAGTTTATTGGTACATTTTAGGTATACAGGACAGTTACATTCATTATTGGGACCTTGTACCCTTACATGACAGGTCTTGGTTCTCATTTTTCCCCTTGTTCCTGCCCCCCTTCATCCCTTCCTCCCCTCCCCATTCTCAAACATTTTATTTCCATTTTTTTCATTTTCTCCTATTTTTCCCCCTTATTACCTTTCACCTACTTTTCCCACTTTCCCTACACGTTTAGCCCTTTTCTTCCTATTTCACATTGTCAGTCATCTCATTAGGATCTCATGTACTATTATAGTTTATTCACACCAGAGAAACTATTCAGTATTTACACGTGTGTGGAGATTCTCTTCTTTCCCCTTGACTCTAGTCATCTTACGTTGACCAGGACACAACTTTCGACATCCATCACTTGTTCACCAGCTCTATATATCAAGTGGTGAAGTTCATGTAGCAAATGCAAGAACTTTTTATTGCATAAATAAAATTTTAGCCCTTCCTTGTATGAATATTTTAAATTTAAACACTTGGTTTCAGGGACTTCCCCTCATATGAACTTATTTTGGTATCTATTAGACTTAATCTTCTATTTATTGCCTATTTCAAAATGGAACTCTATCAGTAGTATCTCTTTGAATACAAAATGTAGGGCTTGTATTATACATGTTCTCTAACACCTAGTACAGCCTTCCAAACATTAAGGTACATAGCATATGTTTCTACTGTTGGTAAAGACATCATTCTTATTACACGAGGCTAATTGCCTTTAAAAGACAGCATAAACACTGAAAACAATGTTTTTATACCCTGTATTCTTAAGCAAGCAATTTATTCTCTGGATCTGAAACTAACGAAACTTTTTCTAATAGGAATCATGTCAGAATACTATTATTTTTGGAAGTATTTTAATTTTGATTGGGCAAGATACATCTTTAGTATCTTTTTTCTAAGTGTTTATTAATAAACCCTAAAGTTATTTAGGCTAATATCTTTTGCTTTGTGGCTCTTTTGTCTTGTTAACTGTTATATATCTCATAGTAATAATAGTGAAATGTGTTTGGCAAAGTAGTCTTCTTATACTAAAGGTGCATTTAAAATGTGATGTTTGAAATAGCCAATTTTAAAAATGTGATTGGGCTTGATGTCTGTTGAGATTTCTTTTGAAAATACGTTTACTACAAAAAAATGTTCTCTTTGGGTATTTTGCAAACTAGTTGAAAATAGGATGAATCATTTTTAGTTTACAGGCAAAAGAAAAGATTTCATTATTTTGTTTTGTTATTTATAACCTCAAAAAGAAATTTTTTTTTTTTTTTAGCTGGCCGTGTGCATGCAAGTCCAGTTACCATTTGATGAAATGTGTCAAGTGGGGAAACTTCTCTTTCTTTATGATGACACATCAAATGTGACCTTATCTCTAAAAACATTAGAATGACTGAGTGAAGTTTCCTTACCTTGTTTTTCAAATAACTTTAAATAAACCCTATAAATTATGGTGCGATTATTTTACAGGAGCCAGCGAGAAAGAAATCGCCTTAATGAATGCTTTGACTGTCAATTTACATCTCCTACTGGTAAGTTTCCTTTCCCACCAGTGTTTAGAATAAACTCATTTATGAAATATTATGTTTTTCTATCTTTAATTCATGAGCATCTGAGGTTTTACTTATTTAAAAATAAGATGTGAAGTTATTTTCATTTTTACCAGAAAATCTTGAACCACGGTATAGTGATTTCTTCACAAACAAGGATCGTTGACTCTTGCAGGTTGAACATCAGGGAAAAGGGTCATGTACATAAGGGAAAAAGGTCACAGTACACTGCTACTTAGTGGCTATCAGAGCATTGAACTTATTAGAAAGATAATTTCCAATATGCTGGACTTCAAATGGGTGGGATGCTCAATTAGTGTTCTATTATGGATTAATTTTTAAACATGTTAAAAAAACATAAAATATAAGATTAAATTAGAGAAAAGTGATCTCATTACTTGCAATGAGCTACATTGCTAAATTGCTCATTACACCCTGGCCAGTAGTCACCACCTAGTTAATACGGTTATTCTCAATAATATTGACATTGAGGATAACATTATTATCCTCATAGTTATTCTCAATCTATTTCTCCCAAAATTGTGGAAAAATGAAAGTGTATCATTGAACAAATGGGCTACTTCTCGTTGATATATTTATTGGTATATTAGTTAGATGTGAAATAAAAAGACATAAAGACAACAGTGGAAAGTTATGTAATGAAAACCAAAATAGTAGTGATGGTAAGTCATTATAAATAAGATATACATAAAACAAAATATTACAGTTTCATCCTAGAGAAATTACCATTGCATCCTTTGGAGGAAATTTTTCAATTAACATTTAAATAAAATGTGAGAAATTATTTTATCCGATATACATTTTCCCAAGTTTATTTTTCCATTGAAAAATATAATGAGCCAATATCTTCTTCTTCTCTGTAATTCACTCTAAACAAGTTTAATTGATAATGTACCCCTGGGCAGATATCTTAAATGTTTAATAAATTAATACCTCTAAAACTTTGGAGATATAAAATGAAAGTATGGCATTAAGTGAACAAACATGTAAATTGTGCATTAATGCTTTCTCAATAAATCCATTTCCTTGCAGTTATCATTTTTTAAGCCCACACCAAAACGGTATAAAATTCTTCTAGAAGCCAAAGCCTTCTCTTCTGATCATGTAAGGATTTCCTCAAATTATATTTATTTTATTTCTTCTCTTCTTAGAGGGAGGTATCATTTTCCTGACTTTAATGTGTATTCATTAATTTTTTGAAAGCAACTTTACTATAAAAACATCTGTCAGATGCTTTTGATTTAAGCAGTTTTTATAGATTGTAGATTTATTTCTGTTGTTCAACTAAAACGTGTTAAGGGAGGAAAGGCTTGGATAGGAACATTGATTTATGAGTCTTTTAAAAGACATTGAGTAAACTGTTGGATTAAATGAAGTATGGTTATGAAAGTTTTATTATTTCTTCTTGTTTTATTTTATGAAATCAAATCAATACAAACCCCAGTGCTTAAACTTTTAGCTATTTAAAATTGAAATGTTATTTATCCCTTTGTTTTCATAGCATGCTAGTATCATTATTGATGCTTTATTATCAAAAGATCTATTTATTAAAGTTTAAAAATCTTATTTGTGGATCACAAAAGGGTACTACCATATCAGCAATTCAGTTGGTAAGAAATTTGTTTGTTCCAGAAACACATACAAATAAACACACACACACACACACACACACACACACACACACACACACACACACACACACAACACGTCCATGGCATACATCAGTGTTAGTACTAAAGAAACTTGATTTCTGTATTTATGTTAACTATACTAGCCCATATTTTGTAGTTCTATGGTGTGTAATTATGCTGCAATTAATAGCTGTTATCTTACTAAAAAGGGGCAAATTCCAAATATCTATTAAAAACCAAGCCCTTGTAATTATTGTTACCATGCATATTATATTGTTAGTGAAGTAGACTCATTAATGTCCTTTCATTTCTACTCTTTCTAGATCAAACCATTTTTATATTCTGATGGAAGCATAAAAAGTTCGTATTACTCATTAGTTATTTTGGAAATTCAGGTTTTGACTTGGAGTAGTAGACTTCTAATATAAAAATCGCTTGTAACTCCTAAAGTTCAAATGACCCTTATATTTCTAATCATCTCTAATTAGTACTATTTTAAAGAATGTTCAGATTCCTGCTTAACTCATTTTAAGTAGCTTTTCTTTGATGTATGCTTTAGTCACTTTTAGGCTTGACCTTTGGTTTAATACAACAAGTTTTATTGATATTTTATTGTTTGTTTTCAGAGTTGTTATCTCAGTGCACTTCTGTGCATTCAGTATGAGTCAATAAATAAATGATCCTTCTCTTCCAGTATGCTATTGAGTCACAGCTTCAACTGCATGGACTTGATGTTGAGAAAAGTATGCGGATGATAAAGCCAAGAGAGGTATATGACAAAGAAATAAATATTCATCATGCTTCTATTTAGTATTGATTTCTTCCTCCATTTCCTCAAAAGTTTATTATCTTCATTACTTTAATGGAACTTTCATGAAAGTATAAAAAAAGACTTCTGTTTCTATTAGATCATATTATTTAAAGTAGAAAATAACTCCAAAGTGAATTTGTTTTCATTTTTCAAGGGCTAGCCATGTGGAAAGCAAACGGTTTTTCTAAATATACCTCTAAAATCTTCCATAGTCTTCAAGAAGATGTGAAGAGAGTGACAAACTGTCTATCTATCTGTCATTGCCCGGGGGTGCCATTAAAATCAGCTAGCTACCAGTGCGACCTGCTGAAATGAAATGATTAGCTTTGGTGTTCCTTCCTAATCTGTGTATCAGATACATTCCTTTGTGCTTGGAGTGGAAAAAGAGATAAGGGATAGTAGAGAAAATTTGGGCTTTACAGCATGACTAATACATAAAATGGAACTCCAGACCCTCCAGTGTATGGGATATACGACTTTAGTAAAGTTACTTTATCTGTCTGGGACTTCATTGTATTTAAACAACAAAGAATATATCAAATACAACCTGATCATACTTTGGAGATCTAAAATACTATGTTCTTTACTCTAATAGAGGTGTGAGGGTGTTGTACATATTTTGACATACAAGCACCGCGTCTTGTGTAATTTTTCAAGAGAATCATTTAGAATAAATTTTAGTTTTCACATATGAAAATTCCAGCATATTAAGCCAATGTTTTGAACAATTTCTTCCTTCCATCCAGAATTTTTCTAAAAACATTAAAGACCTGCTCTATTCACTTCTATTTGCCAATATTCGGGAAATTCATGGAATAAAACATTCTCACACCTGTGAGAGCATGCCTACTGCACAAATACTATATAAATTACTGATTTCTAGCATAAATGAATATGGCCAGTAACGATCCCAAGTTTTAATTTTAGAAATAAGTGATCAGAATTGTAATCCCCCATGAGTTAATCATGATTTCAGGGCCAGTGTTTATTAATGCTACATCAAAATAAGTCCACATGACTGAGGTCCCTATCCTATTTTTGTGAACTATCGTTCTTATTTTCTTTTTTTTAAAAAACACCTCCCATCACTTTCATCTGTGTTAGGTTGCAATTTTTTTGTTTTTGCTCTGTTTTCTGCGGCAGAGTCACACTGTATAATCCAGGCTTTGTTCCTCTTTCCTCAGCTGCAGGAGTCCCAGCACCACAGGCTCACACCACTGTAATACTCCTTCTTATAAGGTTCAAAGCTCACATTGAGCAATGAGTTTGGGGTTGCAAAAGAGGATTTTACTTTTGCACCCATCAAGTAGATTTCTTACTTTCTTAATGCTGATTCTTCAGAAAAATAAACTACTTATCAGTTTTTATAATGCTTTATTTTTAATTGTGGTAGGAAACTATTAAATTATTTTATGAATAAAAATTTCAAATTGCTAAGATTTAAATTTTACTTAGAAATTTCCTTGTGATTTATTCCCTTTGCATATTAAAATTTTCTCTTCATGCATATAAAGTATATTTCATTTAGCATTTTAGAGGTTTCAATATCAACACTATTCTTATTCTGTAAACAAATTCCAGACTTTTTAAATACACACATACACACTTATCGTCACAGACTCCCCACCGCCCCAACACACAGACAAACCACAACTAGCATACAGCATGGGTCAGAGTGTCTGAAATGTAATAAGAATTATAACTTAAAAATAAGTTAAAGGAAGTTTTCCTCCAACATTAATCCAATTAATGATGTATGAACTTCAAAATCATGTCAAATTTAACACTGGAGAAAGTTCATAAACACTTGGTAAGTTGATCAAAATTGTTCAAATACAAGTAGATGTTTTTATTTAATCAGTTTCTTTCACCTCAAATTGTTTGTGAGAACAAATCTAAATATATTTTCAATCATGAGTTATGGTGGGTGACACATGAGAAAATATACTGAATGCTAGTGAAAAAGTTTTATTTTACTTTTCAGGATTAGATCTTGATTATTAGCTTGGAGAAGGTTTTACAATTAAGCTAATAGATATAAGTTAATATTCAGAACAAAGACATGTAAGTGATTTTTGAAACAATTATATTACATTAATAAATGCATGAACTTATAAATAAATGCAATAAATTTATTTTCAACAAATTTATCTTGTTATAAGATTTTTCCTGGATTTATTGCATTTTGAATGTTTCACAGTCGCAATTTGTGTTTAATGAAAGCGCAGTTCATGGGTATACAAATAGTAAAAGTAATAAAACTAGAGGTAAGTCAAGTGAGTATGTTGTTGCAAAGACTGAGAAAAACTCCATTTTACTATTTTGTTGTCATTTCCTAATTATAGATATATATGTTGAAATACTGCTCTTCTGCCAGTCAGTTTTTAAAGAGCATGAGTGTGGAAATTCAAATCTACCTTCACTTTTTCCTATGATGAGAAAGATATTGTGACGCTTAGGTTGATAAATATGAAGTGACAAATTATTGTTGTAATTACTGCCTAACATATGCCTAATTTGACTTAGGGGGAAGAAATCTTAAGAATGGAAGATATTCTTGAAGTAATTGAGAAGGAAGGAGACTCAGTTGCAGTGATCCTGTTCAGCGGGCTGCATTTTTACACTGGACAGCTCTTTAACATTCCTGCTATTACTCACGCTGGCCAAGCAAAGGTACTCCCACCCCGCCTCCTCCCATCGCGCCCCAGACATAGTCTGCTGAAGAGCAGTTCAGCTCACTTCTGAGAAATGCCTTCACCTGTGCTGTGTCAAATGATCATAAGAATGCTTTTTAAGAACAACTCTTACTTTTAAAAAAATCTGTATTCTCTTTTGCATCAGGCGTCTCTATTTAAATCTTTCTATTTCTTTTCACCATTTTTGTGTACTCACCTCCTTACAAGCAGATGCTCTCTCTGTGTTTGCCTCAGTCAGCAGGACAGGCAAGCTTTACACAGGCGATGTCACCTCCACTCAGCTCCTCAGACAGCAGGAAGAAGACAAAATAACCGAAGATGGTAACTATATGTGAGGACTGCTAAAACTCTGGTACTTTGTCATACTATCACTAGTGCTACAATGACCAGCTTTCACTGAGCTGTCCATGTCTAAAGGTGGAGAAATACAGATTTCATCAGTAGATCCAGCCGATTTTACCAGTAGATCAAGTTTTACCCAAGTTACTTTAAGGAGACATTTTATTTTTCTAAGAAATTTAAGAAATTTATACTGCCTATCACAAGAAATTTTTCCGATGCACTGCTAAATCACACTTAAATTTTACCACTTGGAAAATGTGTGTCTTTGTGTATGAGTATTAAAAAATGCTTTTAGTTTTTATTTGGCTAAAAGGAAGAAATCAAGGGAGCAAAGTTTATTAGTCACAATTTGTATTTAAAATCTTAGGTAGCGGTTCTATTTGATTCACAATCAAGTCGTGTACTTGAAAAGGTGGCAATCAAATTTTACTCTGAACATTAATAAGTTATGGGTTAATATATATGTGAGGTCTGGTTAATATATGCAGTTATTGAAGCTAATGAATGGAACTAATGAAAAGAAATTTAGCACTATTATCAGCAGACTAAGATTTCCCAGCCATGACTTCCAACTGGTGTGATGGATAACTTCCAAACTGGTGCATTAAAAATGATATCAACATAATCTCTTCTTAATTTAGATATTAAATGGTGGGCACCAAAATAAAGGGGGACTTATAAAAATCTATTTTAAAATGTTATGCAAGTCATCAGTAGCCTCTGCCCTGCTAGTATACGTGCGTGTGTCATTAAATTTCATAGATGTGAGACAGGAAGACAGAGAAGGCCACGGTATCTAAACAGTGGAATCAAACAATCTAAGGTTCAAATCTTGGTTTGGGCCCCTTAACTGGTATATGAACTTGTACAAGTTACTTGGTTTTTCTGGGTCTCTCTTTCTAAAATTTTAGTTTGGCGTAATAGCACCAACCTCACTAATTCAGTGTGAAAACGTAGAGTACCTCTTGGATGGGCACACATTCTTTAAGTAATGCTTCCTCCCTCTCTCTTGCTATCTTTAAGAAGTGATTCAGATATCATTTTATTTCCCATTAAAAGCAAGATAAACTTGTTCACTTAGGTTTTATATATGTAATTCTCATTCTTAAATACTTTGTTGCTAAAACCAGTCTACAAGTGTTTTTTAGACTTACTTCCACTTACGAAAATGAAATGCCTACCAAGTCAAACTCTCATGGAACTCTCAGTCCAATCCACGAGGGTAGGGATGAGAAGTTAATTCTAAATTTAGCTGCAAAGAAGTGATGGGTACCATGGGAATGAACTTAGGCTGCAACAGACTCAGATTTACCCATTATCAAAATTATTCTAGCAATTATTTATCCTCTTGCTAGACAATTCCTCCCATTTTTAATTGAGGTTGAGGAATTAGGCTAACTTAAAATTACACTTATATAACCCCCTTGGGTGGGCTATGAAGATAAAGCCAGAGAGGCAGAAAGGAAATTAAAAGTGTCAATCAAAAAAGAGATAAGACAATTTTAGGCAAAAAAAAAAAAAAAAAAAAAAAAAGAGTTCTAATAGTCTGTGCTAAGATTGGCTAAGTAGGATAAAAGAGGAAAGTTTCCAGAAATTAAGAATGGCTGCAACTTGAAGAAATGGTGGGTTGGTAAAGAGAAACAATGAGTAGATTTTGAAATAAAAATATAATATTCAAGTAAAATATTTGAAATCGAGTGAGTGAGAGAGGATTTGGGGTAGGAGTTTGAAAAATAATTTAAGCAGAGGCATTTATACCAAGGACAGGACTATCAGTAAATGGCTTCATAAATTTCTTTGAATACTGTAACCATCATCCTAACTAACACAAGCACAGAACATTTCCAATCCTCTGAATCCTCAGTTCTGCCATCTTCCAAATCCTATTAAAGCCTGTGTTGGTCCCTGCAGAAGTTATAAAATACTTTAAAAACAAAGAATTATGTAGTTTACAGTTCTGCAGGCTGTAAAATCAAAATCAAGGTACCAGCAGATTCGGTGTGCGGTGATGTTTTTTTTTTCGCTACACAGTTAGCACCCTGATGCTGTGTTGTCACAGGCCAGAACAGAGCAAGAAGCCACTGGAGCCTCTTTATTAAGGACAAAATTCCTTCCATGAGGGTAGGGCTCTCAGGACACCATCACCTCCCAAAGTAAGGACTTGTGAATTTTTGAGGAATGCTAACAATGAGATCATAATACCTCCCTTCTGATCTTCCCATTCTGCTGACTTTAACTTTGTTGATTTTTGGTCATTATATAAATACCTAAGGTCATCCACTTAACTTTATTTAAGTGCATATGTAAACTGTTTGGCTTATTTGCTGTTATTATGTGTTTAACTGTGCATGCCTAATGTGTATTTAACATTAGAGGTTTGTTTTCTTTGCTCAACTTTTCATTTCATTGGATCGTTATGCTGTGTGAAATAGACCACAATTTATTTATTTTTTATTCTAAGCAGGATAGTTTGTTTTTTCTCAGCTTGTAGGCTAGTACAACACATGCTGCTCTTAGTATTCTTGTAATTTGGGAGGGTAAGCATTCACATAAAATTCTGTTAAATTTATACCCGGAAATAGTATTCTTGGATCATAAGCCATGTATATATCCATTATTAATCAGTAATGATAGTCATCAAAGGGTTTGTATCAATTTGACATAAACTCTTTCCCTCCCTCCCTCCTTCTCTCCCTTTCCCCTCCTCTCTCTCTTTCTCCAATACAAACAGCAGCTTCCATTTTTCTACGTCATCACCAATAGTTACTGTTGTAGTGTTTCAAATTTTAGCCATTCTGATTAGGTTGTAGGAAAACATGCATTTAATTTCTGCTTCCCTGATTATTGATGAAGCTGAAAATCTTTAAAATGTTTATTGGCTTTCTGGCTAGTTTCTTTCATTCAATAATTGTCCTGTCCATTTTTCTATTTGGTTATCAATCGTTTTCCGATTCAGTTGTACATAGTAAAGAAACTGACGTTGAAGAAAAGGATACACTTGATTTCCTATAGTCGCCAAAGAGGAAAATAAATTAATTAATAAAAAAGAAATTGACAGTATGAACCATTCCCATAACACATTTAAGGTGCAGAGTGTGAGGAAAATGAAACAGGGTCAGTTCAGAGAACTAAATCACAAGAGAAGGCTAGCATGTGGCAAAAGCTATCGGTTTGAAGATACTTTCACTGTTTATATTTGAAGCCGTGTGTGTGGTTTGTAATATCGGCTAACCCATCTCTTTGGAACCCTGCTGTGCTTCCATATATCTGTATTTTCCTATTCTGTAAAACTTCCCTTTCTATTTCAATCAAATACAGATGTCACCCAGTGTCCTATGCTGCACTGTCTCCATGAGTTCTGCTCCCCACCCCCCCACACCATCCTGGTCAAGTGCCAGCTACTTCTATAGACGAAAAGCATCATTTGTGTGCTGCACTTGGATGTCCTGTGTGTACCTTGAGAACGCTGCAGTGCACTGAGTATTCTACTCAAAATGCTCCAAGCAGATTTGTCTTCTCCCAAGGTATTTCTTTTGCTTCATGTCACCATCCTGTTGGACATTGAGACTCATCACGGGTTTCCTGTTCTTGATCTTTTAAACCAATTATTTTGTAATTCTACCCCCTCCAGGGACTGGTTTTTTCCAGTATATTTCTGAATCTGAATTTATATTGGAATATCCAGCCTCTTTAGAAAAATAAAAAATAAATCAATGAGTATATTTTAGATAGAAAGTGAAATGTCAAAATTTTAAGCAAAGATATTTCTGAAGATTTAAAGCCATCCTCAGTTAAAATCAGGTGAAAAACAAGGATTTCATTTTCTAATCAGACAAGACTTTAGAATCATGGCTGCTGTGCTGCATCCAGAAACTCAATTCAGTACGAGTGCTATCTCTAGGGTTCTCATAACAGTTTTCTCAGACTTTTCCCATTGCAGTTCTAAGGTGGTTGTCCCAACTCTAGATGTCACATTTATATTTAAGGGAGACAGAAGGAAGAAGGGAGAAGTACCAGTGCAGCTTCATCTGAAAAGACAAAACAAAACAAAAGCAAAACATACAAAACAAACACAAACTACAGATTCCTGTACATAATTCATGACTTTCTGAAGTGGCAGTTAAAAAAAAAAAGAGCACGAATAAGAAAAGAGTTTATGTGTAGAAACGTACAGTAGAGAAAGAAGGAGTTGGAAATAGGGTTTAGGTTTGCTAACACTCATTACGTCCCAACTATTCCACTCCTACCATAGGATCTCCTAGTTTCTTTTTTTTTTTTTTCTTTCTTTTTTGATTGAGTTCATTGGTACATTTCAGGGATACGGCACAGTTTCCTAGTTTCTGCTCTGTTACTTTCCTCCCCTCCTTGCCTGTCTTGTTTCTCTGTCTCAGTTCCCTCTTTCACTCTTGTTTGTTTCTCTCATTTTTTCGCATCATTTCCAAATTATTTCAAAAGAGTTCATGGGAATCGGATGACATGATAAAGTGACGTAATGAATTATAAAGAGAGGAATAGAGAGGCCGTCTCTGTGTCATATTGAAATGAGTAGATGCTTCCACAAATTATAATATGTCCATTAGAATTATGAGAAGAAATGCATAATAAATAATAAAAATATTTGTAGTCGAAAATTTT